CATTTTAGCTCACAGGGGATGATATTGTTAGTGTCCCTGGGAAATTAAGCACTTCCTATACATATGTCAAGAAGAAATGGAAAGAGACAGTTGCATTGCTCTGGAGGGAGGGTAGTAAAGACAACTGGAACCTTCTCCTTCATTCCTCAGAGTCTCTCAGAGAGAGGGTGAAAGGGAACTTTTTCTTACTGGTTTGCATTCCTTTCTGTCTCCTCTCTAGTCATCTCACAGCATCCTGAAAAAGAATGTTAAGCTTCCATTTAAAAAAATCCTGCTGTGCAAAATCACGGTTCTCATTACGTTTGTACCACCTTGATAAAAGGCACCTCCACATTCTTTAAAATGCATGTCTGGATGAAGTTCAAAGACCTGAAAACTGAAAACTCGGGAGTAGGGAGGTGATTGAATCATAGGGCTCGGCTTTTGGAGTTGGCTGGAGCAGGCTAAATGTGGTTGTTTGGGGTCGCAGAGAGGTCCCGTATGCCATTTGGTGTGAACACATGGCATACGCTTCTCAAGCAACCCTATTTGACAACTTCCATTAAGAAAACATGAACAAAAAGTTCCTTGCCCTCTCCTCCTGGGAGGAAGCTTTCTATTTTTTTTTAATCTAAGTATAGTGCGTCAGTAGACCAAACAGTCTGACAAATGCCTGTGTAGTTACTCCTAAAGCATGACAGAAACTTTTAAAAGACATAAGTAACTCCAAGTGACTGAACAATGATACATATAGAAAAGACCTTCACTCTCTTAAAATGCAAAACTGCAGGGCAATTTACTAAATGGATATGGGCAGCAGCAAATAGCAAGGAAGTGTGAAGTTTGCCATGATGGCATGCTGTATTGACTTTAGGCATAAGTAATTCTAAAATGTACTTTGTTAATATATAGAGGATAGTTCTGTCAGTTACAGTACTATTAACCATATAATAAGAAAGCCCATGGAGATAGATGCTGGACTTTCCCAATGGCATATAGCTGGCTGATTATTGGAAGACAAAGCACTGAGCATAATACAGTGGTGCCCCGCATGACGACGATAATCCGTCCCATTGAAATCGCTGTTTAGCTAAATCGTCGTCATGCGAAATCCATTTCCCCGTTGGAATGCATTGAAACCCAGTTTAATGGGTTCCAATGGGGAACGTGGTGGCGCTGTGGGCTAAACCAGTGGTTCTTAACCTTTTTGAAAGAAATGCCCCCTTGAGCCATTGAGGAAGTTATCATTGCCCCCCTCCCTGAAGTGATCAAATCTTCCCTACCTACCTACCTACCTACCTAGCTTGTCCCCCCCCCACCCGGGTGCGAGGCAGCGCTTCACGGGGCGAGGATGAGGACCCAAGAGACCCTTTCCTTCCACCTGATCCACACTCAGTGCTCCCCTAAAGGAGAAAGGCAAGACGTGGCAGGTAGAAAGAGCTGGATCATCTGGCGGCGGCAGCAGCAGCACCGGATCTACTGCCAGTATTGCGGCTGCAGTCGTCTTCACAGGTTTGGCTCGCTCCAGCGCCCCCCTACGGCCCCCCTTCTGTTCTTTTGCCCCCACACCGCCCTTTTTTGTTCTACCGCCCCCCTGAAAAATGAAATCGCCCCCTGGGGGGCATTATTGCCAACGTTAAGAACCACTGGGCTAAACCACAGAAGCCTGCATTGCAGGGTCAGAAGACCAGCAGTCGTAAGATTGAATCCACGCGACGGAGTGAGCTCCCGTCGCTTGTCCCAGCTCCCACCAACCTAGTGGTTCAAAAGCATGCAAATGCAAGTAGATCAATAGGGACCACCTCGGTGGGAAGGTAACAGCGTTCTGTGTCTGAGTCGCACTAGCCATGTCTAAGTCGCACTTCGGACAAAACGCTGGCTCTGTGGCTTGGAAACGGGGATGAGCACCGCCCCCTAGAGTCGAACACGACTGGACAAAAATTGTCAAGGGAAACCTTTACCTTTAATGGGGAAAATACCTGGTCATCCAGCGAAGATTGCCCATAGGGAAGCCATTTTACGAGCGCTGATCAGCTATAAAAATGGCTGCCCTGCGAAGCATGGGTCCGGAAAACACAGGGCAGCCATTTTGTGAAGCCGACAATCAGCTGTAAAAATCGTCGTCTTGCGAACAAATGTCCAGCGAAAATATCCCATTGGAATGACTGTTTTGCGAATCGCTATAGTGATCGCAAGTCATCGTTATGCGGATTCGTCATTTAGCGGGGTCGTCGTCTTGCGAGGTACCACTGTAGGCCTATTGGCGTGACTCGCTACATCAGTACTTGTATTTTGATTTCCCTGGGAAATAGTGAAACTGCTTTGCATGCTTGTTTGTTATTGGCACTTTTTGGGCTGATATGAGATGGTTGCTAATAGATAAGACAGCTCTGGAGAACTCATGAAAATGTGTGTGTGAGAGAGAGTGGGTGGGGAGAGGTGCCCCCCTCAACTAATCACTGTTTTGTTATGGCAGGGAAGTCCGAGGGCAATGGCAAGATGCACATCACACTGTGTGACTTTATTGTTTCCTGGGACTCCCTCAGTGCTACCCAGAAGAAGAGTCTAAATCAGCGATACCAGATGGGTTGTGAGTGCAAGGTAGGTCCAAAGTCAGGTGGATTTCCTGCAATACCTTGAACTGTGTATTAATTTTTAAATGAGTTTTTTGGAGAGTCTGAATTTTAAACTTAGGGTTTTTTTGCATATTAAACCTAAACATTATATTGACAACCACAGAAAAGTCAAGAAGACTTTTCTTACAATAAATGTTGAGCATTTCCCCCAGATACGATAGTGAAGCCACAGCCTCTGATTTTTTTTTAAAAAAAATACAAAGCAGAAGTAGGCAACATGCATCCTGGAGGCTGCATGAAACCTGACAGAGGCTCAAAGCAGGTTCAAGCATCCCTGTAGCCCTCAGCACCCCCTATATATACATTAAATATCTTTAAATCAAAATTTTTGTACTCCTCTAAAGAGGGGCAGTTTTGCTACATTTTAATGGGAGCCTAACATCCCTGTTAGACCCTGATGTTGGGAAAGTGTGCGGGCAAGAGGAGAAGGGGACGACAGAGGACGAGATGGTTGGACAGTGTCATCGAAGCCACCAACATGAATCTGACCTAACTCCGGGAGGGAGTGGAAGACAGGAGAGCCTGCCGTGCTTTGGTCCATGGGGTCACGAAGAGTCAGACACAACTGAACGACAACAACATCCCTGTGCCCACCCATTAAAAATAAAATAAAATTAGGCCACTACAGAGTACATGCAGAGACAAAAACCGATCTTTTGGTCAGAAGTCTTTTTTTGGGGGGAATGGGGAAGTCACAGGAGAATGTATAGCCTCCAAGATGGGCATTCATGGCCCCTGGACCTCTGGAGATTGCCCAGCCCTGATAATAGATTGTAAGCATTTGCTAAAGTACAGCAGGTAAGAATTCTTCTTTGTGGTCTCTGTGAATGCATACAAATGGGTTTCAGGGCACCTGCGCAGAGACTCTTGGAAACTTCCAGACATGCTTTTATACGTGTCCATTAGGACCTCCCTTCCGTCACGCTCTCCCCGCCTATGGCATAGAGTGCCTCTGTTTCTTTTTTGCCACTGCTGCATCAACACCTTGGCTGTGGAGCTCCATTCATGTCTGTAAGAAAATAAAATAAGGACACTTAGATCTCTTCAGGACCTTCCTCCATTTCCTTCACTTTGTGAGTGAAGAAGAAGAAAAAGGAGGAGGAGGAGGAGGGAAAAGAGAGAAAGGGAGAAATAAGGAGAGAAGACGAAGCTCTTTTCCCGTGCTATTTTCCACTGGGCCCTTCGCTCTTTTATGGCCTTTTCAGGCCCCTTAAAGCAGTGTGAGTCTTACCTGAACAAAACAACTGTATCTGACAGGCATTCTCAGTGCCTCTTCTATTTAGGTGAGACTCGCCAAACTAACTCCTGCCAGGCCTGTAAAAACTTAGCAAAACCAGCGCTTAAACTTCGACTCCAGTGCCTACAATCTTGCCTCTGGGAAAAATCTCTACAACCATCCCAGCACCCAGTCATGGATTCTAGCCAGGCCCAAGCTATAGATCCCTCACGTACCTCTCCTGCTTCAAGATCCATCCAGTCTACAAAATAAAAATAAAAATAAAATAACATAAAAATAAAAATCCAAACCAACATCAGAAGTGAAGCCTTCAGGGTTGATACCGAAGCCTATATCAACCCATTCCACTGTGTCGACACCGAAATCAGCATTGATCCCATCAGATACATATAGGAAGAAAAAGAAGTAGGCCAAGCACCCTCATGCTTCATTGCCTGGGGAATAAGCTAGATCCCCCACCCAATCTGTGGATGAAGCTCGGCAAGAGACTGTTTGCCTCGAATTATTGTCTGGGAATGAGGATGTCCCTCTCCCTCTGTCTGAGCCCTCCCAAGTTCAGTCAGACTGGGAGAATACTTCGGCTGAGGTCACTGCAGTCATGCAACCGGTGCAGGCGAGCCCTAGCTCTAAAATGAGCTCTATTTCAGGCCATACATCAGTATCGGTCTTGGACTCGATATGGGATGATCTCTCCTGAAAGACGACTCGTAAGACCCACTACGTCGACCTGCATGTCGATACTGAAGGGCACCAACCTCATGCTCAATACCGCACGATTGTACGTCAGGAGCCCCCGTATTGCCATAAGTGCTTTAAAAAGGTTTGTCTTTATGACCGACCCACCTATTATGAGCCTGAGATTTATTACGATTCCGGACCATACAAGCCAGACCCTTGGTATTGTAGACACACTATATGTCACTATTATGCCTATGTTTACTACTTGGGCTCTTCTTCTATGTCCCTGTCTCCTCTTTGATACCAAGCACCAGCTGAGGTTCTTCCATACCAGTCTTCAGAGGATGACTGGCATACTGTTTCTCCAACTCCGGTACCATCCCAGCATTGTAAAAGACCCCTTCCAACTGATTAAGAGAGTGATCAGTTGACATTGAAAAGATCACATCGGCACCCACCCGACCATCTCGAGCCCAAGCAATCATGTCTCAAGTTCAGTCATCTTCTGTGAAGGTTACTACAACTTCCCGGGTCCCACGACACTGACACCAACCAGCTACTAGATGGCAAATTATGCACAAATTGGACAGTGCAAAAGATAAACAACCTCTTCAACATCCATCGGCATCAGTCCTGAGAATCCTCTCTCCATTTTTGGAGCAGCCCCCAGCCCCCGGTATCGTTTTCACACTGATACTGACAACTCCAATGCTGAAATAGGGGCAGATTCACCACCCAATATTCCAACACCAGATTCTGGTATCACAGAAAACCAACCTTCATCTCTTTTGGAAGATTTTACATATTACACCCAAATGATCCTCTGTATCGCTAAGGTTATGGATCTTGCTGTTGACTAACTGGCACCAGAGGATAAGGAATCCGAGCATATTACTAAAGACCAGATCCCTCCACTTCATTTGGCTTTTATTTCTTCTCAAACTTATAAAAGAATAATGGAAGAAGCCATCCTTGGTTCCTCAGATCCCTAGGAGGGTCAGGAAACTATACAAAACCCATGATGCGCTACCACCTTTCTTTCTAAACATCCTCTCCCTAACTCATTCATTGTCAATGCTACTCAAAATAGGGCAGAAAATCGCTCTGCCTCCACCCCCAGCAATCATGAGGGTGTTGACCCACCTTTTCTGCAATTCCGTCCTGACAAAGTCACATTCTACCATGACCTCACATTCCTCCCTAAAGTTGTATCTGGCATTCATTTGCGGCAACCCATCATTCTGCCTACATTCTTCCCATCACCTACTAAAGATTTAGAGGTGCTCCCTACACTCCTTGGATGTTAGGCGCACCTTGACTTTTTATGTCCCCCATTCTGCTTCCTTTCAGAAGTCTTAACAGACTTTTCATCAATTGCCACAGTCCTTCTAAAGGTTCTTTGGTCACTTCTCAAACCATTGCCAAATGGATTGTCTCTACTATTCACCTTGCATATGACCTTGCCTGTGAACCTTTGCCTGGGCCAGTTCAGGCACACGCAACAAGAAGGGTAGTAACATTCACGGCATTCCTTAGAGGAGTTGACTTGGTTGACGTTTGTAAAGTGGCCACCTGGGCAGTGCCTTCCACCTTTGCTGCCCATTATCACCTAGATGTCCGGGCCAAGGCTGATGCTTCATTTGGTCGCACTGTCCTTGCCTCTGCTTCATCATGACGTCCCACCTCCTGGTAAGTCAACTTGCTAGTCACCCATTTGTGTGCCTTCACAGAGACCACAAAGAGGAAAGAGAGGTTACTTACCCGTAACCCTGGTTCTTTGAGTGGTCCTCTGTGAATTCACACTCCCCACCCATCCTCCCCTCTGTACGCCATGTATGCTTATTGCATGCTGGGCAGTGGCGGTCTGCTCTACGGAACTGAGGCATTCTGTGCTCTGAGCGGGGCAAGCACAACAGGAGGGCGGTCCTAACAGACACAGGTAAAAGTTTCCTAGAGTTACAGGTAAGTAACCTCTCTTTTTGCTTTAGCCCAGAGGCTTATAACTGAGGTTTCTTTCAGCTTTGGAGATCTATGGAGGTCATTAAAAGTTCAAGATTAAAACTTCTACAGAGACAACTGGCTTCCCAAAGGCATCAAAATGACCACAGGCAGAAGCAGTTCTTGGGTGAGATGGACACGGAGTTCATCAAGGTGCTTCTGTTGCTTTTATGAATGGCCTTCAGGCTGATTAGGGATAGTGGCAAAGGACAGATACTTAAAGCATCTTTTCTCTCAACAGATCTCTCGCTGCCCCTCCATCCCCTGCTATGTATCTGCTCAAGATGAGTGCCTGTGGACTGACTGGGTGACAGAGAAGAACATCAACGGGCGGCAGGCAAAACACTATGCCTGCATCAAGCGGAGTGATGGTTCATGCGCGTGGTACCGTGGAGTGGCTCCCCCCAAACAAGAGTTCCTTGACATTGAGGACCCTTGAGTCCCCAGGGCCATGGCATTCCAGTAGCCAATAGCAACAACACCTGTAAGAAATTAAGATTGGTCCACCTTTGACATCACTTCTTGGAAACAGCATGAAAATAAGGTCTCCTGGGCAGGCACGGTAAAAGGTGGGTGGAGGGGGCTAAGGAAGAGGATGTCTTGGCCACCTTTATATTGCTTAGTCTGTTTCTTCTTCCTTGTTGTGCCAAGGTGTGGTTTCTTAACTTTTTTGTGTCATAGCAGCCGATCCACCAAGGCACAGTGGAGAGAATCAGAATTAACAGTATGACTTGCTGTCAAAGGTGTTGTCTCTGATTCTGTGTAGCTGGCCTACCAGGTTCTTTTCGCCTTGAGAAGGGCATCCCTCACTGTGGAGACAGCTCCCACCCTGCTTGTTTCTCACCCTGCTGGCTTTTGCTTGTTTGAAAACTCATACCTCCTCCACACACACCCATCCATAAAACACTGTTGCCACATTCACAGATACAGGTCTCTCTTAGCCCCCATAAAATAAAATATTGGCTGTCACAAGTCATGGTATCCTCTTGCTCTAGCGAAGTATGTTGTTTTCCTTTCCCAAGGACAAAAGAGCCTTGAGGAAAAAAATAGTTGAGAATCGACCATTTGAAGGTCAGTCTTTTCTTCTCTTCAAGCAAAGCACTTTGGGAACATAAAGCTGACATATAGTCATTAAGCCCCTGTGTATGAGAGATGCATGCAGATTCCTGCTGTGTGTTCCTAGGTGTCAAGTTTCATTACGAGAACATTTGCCTGGCCATCTAGGTTAGCCTGTCAGGCTTCCTAGTCAAACCATATGCTTTACCCGCTTAGTATTGCATGCCTGTGCCATTCATGTATATCTGGTGCCAAAACCCCTTCTTGGTCTTCAGACAGACTTGCTATTCCCTTGATACGCACAGCGTTTTGTGGACCAAAAGAGCTTCCCTTCCTCTTCTCTCTCCTGCTGATTGAACATTCTTGCTGTGCAGAACAGTAATTTTTAACGTGGCCAGTGCATCTCCAAGATCTGCCAGATGTCCTATGTAAAAAATGATTCTTTTGCCAGGAACTCCTCTGAAGGAAAGAGGTCCCTCCCACATATGTGACTACAAGAGCAGGCAGGTCAAGGTATAACCTTGTAAACTGTGAGTATAAATGCTATGTTATAGTTAGGAAATGGATCTTGGCTGCCGGCAAAAGAATCCTTGCTCATCTCCTGCCTCTGACTCCCTCCCTCCCCTCCCCTCTTCTGAGCCAATTCTCTCTCTTTCATTGTGCCCCCTGAGCTCTGTGTAGGCACCCGCTCTTGGCAATACGCAAAATCAGTTTGGAGGGTGTCCAAAAACTACAACTAGCTAGACCTGTCCCTTAGTAGCTTTTTCATGCTGTTCATCAAGGTAAGAGTTTAAAAGATGTCATATTGGACCAGTCTCTTTGATTTCAGTATATTTTAAGAAAGAAGGAAGAAAAAAACTGTTCAGGCCAATATAAGACTCCTGTTTTGCTTCCTGTATGGTTATAGCCTATGTGACATTTACCTCTTTTTCTCTCTGTTTCTCTTTGCTGATATTCTTTGATTTTAATGTTTTCCATTTGTTTTGGCAATCAGTTGTATCATTCCTCTACTCCATTATTTTCTTTTTAATTTCCTTGTTTAGCTGTTAGATTTGCACTTATTATTATTATTTTTTTAAAAAGGGGGTTCTGCATTGAAAGCTTTTAACAATGGGAAGAATGCCAGAATTGTATGGAGGGTGGACTTCCTCCAATTATTACCGAGTGCCAGTGGGGACAGTATTTCTCCTCTTGTCTTCCTCCTCATGCCTCTGCAACACGTACAGGTGTGTGGGGTTTTTTTCCCCTCTGGGGGTTGTAGGCTGGCTGTGACACGTGACTGCTTCTTGCTAGCCAAATTGCAGCTCTGTGCCTGCCAGTGAGCAAGATACTCCTGCCCTTCCAGTAGCAACCATTGTGGAAGATCTATTTATGGAAAAGCAGTATCAAAAGCTCTTCACTTGGCTTAATTTATATAGCTGTGTGGTTTTGTGCCACACTGAACCTTCCCTGATACATTCATACATAAATGCATACAACTCAGTTTCCCCTTTTCCATGCCAGCAACTCAAAATATTTAAAAAAAAGGTTTACATTATTTTCAAATCTTTGCTTAGTAAGTATGAAAAATAAGTATCTAACGCTGCCATAATTTAAAGCTTATTGGGGAACTGGGGCTGGGATGCTGTTTGGTGGGTGGAGTAATATGGGGGGAATGGGGACCTTTTTGTTGTTGTTGGATTCTGAAAGCTGAGATTTTCTTGTGCTGGGAACACATGAAAGTTGTTGAATAGACAAGCAGACTGTGCATGTCTCTGATGCTTTGTATAATTCATACGTGGACACTTGAGTCTTTGGACAATAAACAGTATTATCAAATAATATGGGAACAGACTCTCTTTGCCCAGAGTAAAACTTGTAACCAGTTGTAGAGATTCAGCCATTGAAAAAGACACACTACAATTTTGTGGGGCCCCTAATCCTAGGATAGGGTGAAGCTGTGAGTTTGAGTTGTTTTGTGGCCTGCGGCAGGGAAAGAAACTCTGTCTTTGGTGTGTGGCCTAGCTGGAGGCAGAGGCCTAGACACTGTAGCTAGCTTACCAGTGGATGAGTGGTGGAAGCTAAGTTCTAACACAGACTCTCACCGACAGGAAAAAAGTGTACTTTTAAATTGAGGCTTGAAAGTTGACTATAAGCCTGAGGAAAGGAACATGCCTTTAACCAGGGGAAAGAAAGCTGAGCAAGTGCCTTGTGAAATGGCTGTTGGGTCAGATAATGAAAATGGGGATTTTGAGGAAGGATTTACCTCAGATCAGGAGAGAGAGACCTCAAGGGAAGACCCAATAGAATTCAGAAAGTGGAAATTGGAGATAGAAATGAGGGCCAAAGCTGAGGAAAGACAAATGGCCTTAGAACTGGAGAGGGGAAAAATTGCCCTGGAAAAGGAGAGAATGGCATTTGAACTGAGGAAACTAGAACTGGCAGCTCAGGCCAATAATAACAATAACAACAATGGCAGAGATAACTCTGAGGGGAGACAGCTGTCAAAGGCAGAAGAGATTCCCAGTCTTTAGAAAAGGAGATGATCCTGAATCATTTCTGGTGATGTTTGAGAGAGCATGTGAAGATTTTGAAGTGAGGGAATCTGAAAGAATGATAGTGTTGAGATCTCAAATTAGTGGAGGCCTGGCTGAGATCTATGCGGAGATGCCTATAGAATTAATTAAAAATTATGGGGAATACACGAAATTAGTTTTTGCCAGGTATGGCATAAATTCAGAACATTTGAGACAGAAATTCAGGACTCTAACCAAGAAACCTGATGAGTCTTACTCTCAGTTGGGGGCAAACTTGACCAGATACCTGGACAAATGGCTTGTACAGGAGGGAGTCCAGACAGTACAGGATCTTAAAAACATAATTGGACTGGAGCAGTTTTATTCTCTCCTACCTGGAGAAGTGAAGTATTTAGTCAGGGACAAGAAACCCAGAAATTTACAAGAGGCAGGGGAGGTTGCTGATTTTATTTCCCAGATTAGAAAACCCAGCTTTTCTGAGGGGAAAGTTGTGAGGAAAGCTTGGGAGGACACAAACAAATATCCCAGGGGACAATTTAAGAACCAGCAGAAGGTCGGGGCCATTTTGTGGGCAAGCCCTCAGA